AACACATGTGATGTGATGTTGGCGCTTTGGAAAATAAAAATCAGAAAGTAGTGTGCAAACCACAGTGATCTACCCAAAACTTGCCAGGAACTATTTTCCAAAGTGCCAACATCACATGTGTTTCAATTCAATGTAGTGTGCACACCACAGTGATCTAATATCTTGAAGAATTGGTCAATGCATGAAAATATATTGATGATTGTTAGTAGTACAATGAAAATTTTGGCCCATAGAAGTATGAAAACCATGATAATATTAATATCAGGTAATTCAAAAGATCTACATACAAGAGGATACTTTCTCCAATTTGGTACTTACATAATGCATTAGATGGGAATATAAAAATAATTTACAACGTAGGAGATAAAACACGGCCCTAGTAATTAATAATTGAGCAACCCAACCAGTATTTGTTAAGTGTCTCCTCACCTGCTCAGGGGAAATGCCAACAATTTCCAAAACATTTTCTTGAATCTCACGCTTATAAATTCTCAAGCTTTCTCCACCAATCTGATAGCACCACAACAATTAAGTATTGCACCGTTGAATTTCACATGTTAAGTATTGGCAAAAGATCAATATTGCAACTAACAGAGAATAGAGTACATATTTATACCCCTCAAAAAAACACTCATTAGTTTTACAGTGAGCAAGAAATTGGGTACCGATGATATGTATACAAATTGGGTACCGATGCTATTAAATAAAATATCCATTATATAATCATTGAAGTGGATTCCACACCAACTGATTGTGTGAATGCTATTTGTTAATTGCTCCTCGTGCAACAAACCAAGTGACAGAACATTCCTGAAAAATGTAAAGTCTTAAAAAAACAATTTTACCCTTCTCATTATATGAACAAAGGTATTATATTAAAATAGTCATTATATATACATAGAGATAGAAAACTAATTACCTCACATTAATAGTTTTCAATGCATGCATTTTATGGGATTTTGGTTTTCATGTTTTAATTATGTTAATTTATTAGTTCTTGAAATATGAAATCTATGCTTCAATTAAAATATTTGTTGACCAAGTAGCACTTTTTACTCTGTTAACTTTTAGAATTGGATTTGTAACTGACAAAGTGATGAAATAAGAATACACGAAAAGAAGAGGAAAAGACTACCTCTAAGAAGCCAGCTTGATCAAGGATTGCCCGCACATTTTCTGACATAAAATCAACTCCTAGAACTGTGATATATTGGCAACCATTTACTTTTGATGTATTACATGTAACTTCAAGCCAAGGGCTTAATGTGTAAACGAGTTAGTACTCTTTTGTTGTAACCAAGTGTTAACTTGGAAAGCTGTAAGCCCGTAGGGCATTTTGTTTTGATGTTAACATGTAATACTTATGTAATGGAACTCTAATGAATAATTAGAATGTGGAACTTTTACATATCAATGCATGTCTTATTTGTTGGGTTTATTGTTATTTTTTTGAAGGCGTTACATAATAGAGGAGATTGATAGTAAGGAGATTAAGTAAAATTGTGTTTGTTTTGATGGTAGTTGTTAATACGGAGATTTTTAAATTATTACCCTATAAAGGAAATATAAAATATTAAAACAAATAAAATTATGAATTTTACTTAATAAAAAATATAAAAACATTAAACATTAATGTTAAAAAAAATGCCCAACATATAAATAAAAAAATAAAAAATAAAAAAACCTAATCCTATGGGACTAATTTCCTAATGGAAAATGAGTTGAACCCCCTGAAGGAAGCACCCCCTTTGACCCCCTCGCTCTCTGAGTTGGACTATCTCCATCTCCTCCATCTCAATTCCAATACCCAGGCCCATCCTAATCTCATGAGATTTTGAATCCTCTCTCTATCTCCTAAAATAAATACAACATATAGTGGGTCCCACCTCTATCTCAATTCCAATCCCACCTCTATCTCTCAAAACAAACGGGACCAATAAGTTATGAGTGAGATTTTTATAAACATATTAGTCTTGAAAATTTATGTTTTTTGTTGTTGTTGAGAATCATTTAAAAAACAGTGAGTTTGTTAGGAGAATCAGAGTGAGTTGAAAATTGTAGGTTACAGATTGGATTGTGAGGGTAAAATCGAAATCCTGAGCCTACTAATTTGAAACAAGACTAGTTGGGTATTAAGGCTTTGGAATAATGTTTTGTAGCTCAACAAATTTGGCTCGAATTGGCTCGAAAGAGTGGACTCACGCGCGGTCTTTATCTCTTGTATCTCAAACCTCCACTTCTCTATCTCTCTACTTTTTTATCTCTCCTCTCAAGTCTGAAACTCTCCTCTCCACCTGAAACCCTATCGCCGTTTACCCTCCCTCATCCGACTGCCCTTCCAACGCAGACATCCGACTCCATACTCTACTCATTCTCCTCCGACTTGGTGGTCATACTCTGGTCATTATTGTTCGACTAGGTGGTCAACGGGATACTCCTCTCATTCTCCTCTCGTTCGACTACGCTCATCCGACTCCTTTCACTGACTGAAACTTGTTATACGT